CTGCCGCTGTGCCCTTGCTTTTAGAGCACCAAGGACTGACTGCTGCTTGGGGAAACAGTTTGGTGACCATTTTTATTAGGGGTAAAATGTGGAGTTTTCCCTGGACTGCATTATCAGGAGTGGACGGATCATTATTCTGAAATATCACCGAGGGAGAAAGAAAGAAAAAAGAGTTCAGCCTTAAGGAAACCTCCAGCAGTAGGAGTTTCAGGCTTAATGGTTCAAGCTTAAAGAAATAATAAGCTACTAAAAACTAGGCTCTAGCAGTGGGTAGCAGTAGCCGGCCTTACTGGCAGGCAGTGCTGCTCACTCGCTGCCCGGCAGAGCACCACGTATATGCGTGGCCATCTCCGGGCTTGAAAAGATACCCCGCTGCTCCTGGGCTTGGATCCTGGGAGGATGCAGGAGGGTGTGCAGGGTCCGTCCGTGACGTGGCACCGGTAACACCGGCAGAGCAGCCGAGGTGCTGGGTCAGGGCAGGTGCCTCGATGAGAGCAGCGGGCCGAGGAGGTGGTTTGAGCTGCAGCGTGCGGGGGGGAGCGCAGGTGGAAGAGCAAGACCCAGGAGGGCTACAAAGAGGAGGGTGCCGTGCTTTGAGACATGAGCAGGATTTGGACCAGCATATGGATTAGGAAGGCTAAATTTAGGGATGTGTTAGAGGGAGAAGTGACAGAGCTTGGGTGGGAACAGCGAGGCAATTGGGAGATCAAAGGAAACCTCCGTATTATGAGTGATTTGGGGTGGGAGGCTAGAAAGGCCAGCCAGCTTCCAGTGCTGCGTTCTGCTCTTTTCCAAGTAATTTCACTTTGAATTTATTTTTTAATAATGTTCACTGGATTCCACCTAAGCTTTGCTTTGGTGCCAGGGCGGCTCTGAATGCCACGTGGAAAACATCCTCACTGCATCTTAGCGGGTCAGAGCTGATGGGACAAGTTTTCACATGGTCTGGATGGCGTTAGCCCGACTCATTCTCAGAGACGCAGAAAAAGCGCTTTCTTGTGCTGCCTCAGAACGAAGCAGCGTGAAACCTTGGCAGCAACGTGGCCCTCCTTCAGAGGACACGTCTGAGGAGCTGCTGGCCTCTCTGTATGGCCAGTTTCTCATCCGTGGATACCACACTGGAGGGCATCTCTGCAGAAAGCTCTTTAGATCAGTGGGGATATATATATTTACTATAGGTATGTATTCCCCAGTGTGCAGTTCGGAGCCGTCTTTCACAGCCTGCTTGTGCACACCTCGTTTTTCTGTTTCGGAGCTGGCTGCTTCTTGCCCTTTTGAAGAACAGGCTTGTGTTCCTGCAGGACTTGATTTCATATTTCGGGTGGGCCCCAGTGTGAGCACAGTGCCTGACGTTCAGTACTTGCTGTAGACCGGTGTTTGAGTAAGTGCTTCAGAGTCCCGACCGCCTGGGACCAGACCTGGCTCTAGTTTGCTTTTTCAGTTCAGTCTTAGCTTCATTCTTGAGCTTGTTCTTGGTGTGTGCATGTTGGCACTGCACTCACCTGGGTGCTGTGAGCACTGCTCTAGGGACCGGTATTGTTATAGCCCAAATGGTGCTGGTTCAAACTGGGGGATGGTCTGCACGACAGCCCCGGACCGGCTCAGAGATGGAAAGAAACTGGAAAATCGTCACAACTGTCTTTGAAGTTACAGCCCGCGGTGGCTGTCATCTCCTCGTTCTTTCCTTTGCCTTGCTCTTAGCCAGACGAGAAGGATGGGTGGAGTGGCCACCTCTCCTGACTGTCTCTAAACCCACTCTGGGGTGGAGAAAACTTAGCACTTAACCTCCTGCAAATACTTTCCAACTTTGGCCTATACTTCAGGGACTACATGGAAAAGTACTTTAAAGAGAGACAGTTTGACAGCTATTTTTAGGTATTCATTGAGCAAAACACTCTCCAACATCTGCTCATCAGTCAGCTATCCCTTCTCTGAGCAAATCTGACGGGATGAGCAGAAGGAAGATGACATTGTTTTATGTAACAGAAGTAAATTTACTGGAAAAACTATGCAGCAGCCTCCTAGCTGGCTCTTGCTGCCTGTTCTGTATAAATCTTCAGTCTCCCCTTTGCTGGCTTGTGCTGGAAACCAACCATCCAAACACCCAAGCTGGATAGAGGATAAGGCTTGGGAACTCCGTGCGTTCTTTATTTTCCCCGTGGTTTTATAGGTGCCGGTACAGAAATGTGCTGCTTCAGCTTCTCGGACACACGTGACTCAGGCAGAGTGATGAAGCAGCACAGGGAGGCCGGGGAATATTCAAGACGGTAGTCGCAGCCCATAGCAACCCCAGGGCTGAAAGATGTTCACAGAACTGATCCGGTGACTGATTTCACAGAACAGCGGGCGAGAGGGGAGGCTGGCTGGCAGGCAGCCCGCAGCGTGCAGCGGGGCAAAGGTCCTGACGCAAACGCCCCGCGGCACTCATTCAGCACCGCCAGCACCAAAGCCGGGGTCACAAAGAGCCTGACCTCGTGGGCCGGGGCACATCTTTTTTTCTTTGTTTTTTTTTGGTTTTTTGAAAGCTGTTCTGAGCAGGTAAACATAAAAAGCAGCATGAAAAGATATTCTGCGTTATTCCTTGCTGGTTTGTATTTTTATTTGCGCTGCAACGTGGGAACCAGCCTGCTCCCGTTCCTCCTGGCCTTGAAAAGTGAGAGAGGGAAACCCAGGGAAATGAGTCATCAAGGAGCTCCTGGAAGAAGAGAGACCTAGATTTAGTAAGTGCAGAAGGTACGCCATAACCCAAGCTTCCCAGCTGAAAAAGCCAGCAAATTCGGGGTAATGGCGTCCTTCTAGCTAAGCTGGACATCACAGAGGTTGGTTCTTTGCCAGGTGGGCCAAAGTTGCCTCGATCGTTCATCTGTTTGAAGTTCTCCCTCCCAGGAACCACATGGTGAGGCTGAAGGACAGTTTATTATAGCGTTCCAATAATTTGCATTGTGGACCAGCAGCTGTGTGTCACCAGCTGGCGGTTCGTCTGTGTGACTAAGCATCTAGAGTTCCCAAATATAGCCATTCAACTGGAGCTGTTGGCATTTTTTTCCCCTTCATTTTTTTTCTCTTCCTATATAATAAAGGCAGGCAAAGTCATCTCATGATGACCCTCCATGTGATTTCTTTTCGGGCAAGAGGCCACAGTCCAGACCAGGCCAGCATAGCATCTGATCTTTGGCCTTGCAAAGTTTCTGGTCCAAGTTGTCCAGGCAGGTGAAGCACAGGGGGGGATGAAGCGATTTGCTCAATGTCACGCAGGTCGGCGGCAGAGCCAGAAATTCAGCCCAGGCGTCCAGAGTCTCTGCGTGTCACCTCGTCCCTTGAACCACCCGCGCTTTAGGCAAGCGTGTTTGGAGAAGTCCTCGTGGTTCAGCTGAAACCAGGGTGGTGAGTTCATGGATAAGGCAGGGTCTGCTAAACAGGAAGGCAGGCAGAACTCGGTCTGTTACGCTTTTTGCCAGAATATTGATCCCCACTCAGTCTTTTTAGGTCAGGAGGTCTTCAGAGCAGTGCTTGCCTACCGGTTTGTGTTTGTATGATGTGCAGCTGAGCTCAGGCTCACTACCAACGGGTATCGTGGGCAGATGAAGAATAAGCAAGGAGGATCTTTTTATTGTTGCGCTGGACCGAGACACAGGAGATCTGAATTGTTTCCAAATCTACTGCCGATGCGTTCTGTGATTTTGGAGAATTTTCTTAAACTCCCTACATCCTAGTTCTTCTCTTTCTCTGTTTGACTTGAGTGTCTATAGACTCAGTAAGGGAGCCTGATGTTTGTACAGAGGAGGGCACAAAGGCTTTTCCTCTGGTCTCACTTTAAAAAGGAAGAAAAGCAGTGAGAGATGATAGCTGAGAAAAGAGGAGAAAAATTCTCTCTCGTTCCGCGCTGTTTGGAATAGCATCTTTCTGCTGATGGAATGGAGGGTATAGAAAACAGAACAGTGCTGCTGTCCTCTAGATGGCATTGATCAGCAGCTCGGGCTGCTCCCACTGCTCGGGCAAACCGAAACGCCTGCCCAACCTACTGCATCGCCTTTGGGGTTCCCTGCCACGACACCCACGGGACAACATCCCTCCCGCCTTTGTCTCAGACTCGGGAAGATGAATAATGGCAGGGGGGGAATAAACCATGTTGCCTCGCAAGTCAGGGAATGCTTGAAGAGCGTTTTTCTTCAACATTTCACTTGGTGCTGAAACAACTAGGGTGGTTGCACCCTCCATACCCTCTTCCTAGACCAAGGGCGTGCAACCACGTGTTAATGGAGTATTTCTCAGCGTGATTATTGGCTTTCTTGTCCTGATTAGCGGGGCTGAAGGGAGAAATCAGAGTGGGTAGATGATCCAGCAGCCCCTCGCAGCTTTCTCTGTAATGCCATGCGCCGCTGAAGAGGACATGGAAAGAGCAGTGTCTGTAGGAGCTGCCCAGGGTGGTGGGTACTGCCAGGCAGTGATTTCTGAAGGAACGGGTACACAAAGCTGTGCTGCACCTCTCTGGAGCTATCGGCCAAATTTTGCCGTTCCCTGCAGCACGGGTAGGGACAGAGCCCTTTCAGGCTGTGCTGGCTGAGATCTCTGGGGAACCTTCCCTTTGCAACACTGGTTCGTGCAAAATGCCGAAGGACGTGGCGGCAGAACCCAGCGCGGTCCTCCCGACGCGCTGTACACGCGCTGGCTCCAGCGTCTCCTGGCGCGGGCTGTGAAGCCCCCTGCGTGGTGGGTCTGGTGTGTCCGCAGCAAGAGCCGCGCTGTGGGTCTGCTGTAGGTTGCGGTGGGAGCAACGGTTGCGAAAGAGATGTTGTCCGTCAACAAAGGACTTGTGGCGTTTCAAGGCATGTTTTGCGTATTGCATGCTCAGCCATGGGCAGGAGCTGATGGAGACTGTCGTGTCAGAACAAGTGGATTTTGTTTTCAGAGCCGTTTCCCGTTCTTCTGTCTCACTTACAGGGTTACTTAAAGCAGTGCCGGAAGAGGAGGGATATGTTCAGTGATGAACAGCTAAAGATTATCTTTGGTAACATCGAAGACATCTACAGATTTCAGATGGGTTTTGTCCGGGACTTGGAGAAACAGTACAACAACGAGGACCCCCATCTCAGTGAAATTGGACCTTGTTTCCTTGAACACGTAAGTGCATTCGGCATTTTTGTTTGGGAGTTTTTGGGAGGGGATGGGAAGGGAATAGCAGAGAAAGTCAGGAGGCAGGATCCCCTCAGAATAACTTCTGTGCGTCAGTACCGTTCTGGTTACGTACCACCGAATACTCCCCGGCATTCTGTTTCCTTCATGAGCTACAGGTGCAGGGAGAATTCCAAGTGAAGCACATAGCTGGATAACTCCCCCGGTACATTTGAACCCCAGCACCTTCTCACATCCACCCTAACTCACGTTACTGTAGGTACGACGTCCCCCGCCTATTCCCCACCTTATTTTGCTCTTCAGAATATGACTTAAACCCACTCCCAGGCCATCCTAATCAGGTCAGGGATGACCAGAAGGTTGGAAGAGGTAAGAGATTCCAGAGAAGTAGAAAGAGGCCTTAGTTGTGCATTACACAAAGAGAGTAGAGGACAGCAAATTCCCCGGGCTGTTCACTGTAGCACCGAGATGCATTTGTGAGGGATGAAAAACCCACACAGCTTCAGTTGCCTTCCCCTCCGGAGCTGCTGGGCCGGGTGGGGAGGTGCCAGCTCGTGCTTCTTGCTGCCCGGGTGGCAGCGGGGCAGCAGATACTCGCTCACGCTAAGTGCACGCTGGACAGGACATTTTAGCTGATGATACAGTCCTGGAGGCTTTTGCCTTTTTGTTACGTAAGCCACGTACTACAGGAGCTGATAAATTGGCCAGTGTTGTAAATATGTTAGGAAATGTCAAGAAAATTATAGTCCTGCAGTTCTAGGCTTTCCTTTAGGGAGCATGAAGTGCTGTGTCAGAGCTTACATATGAGGCGCTCCAACCTGGGATGCAGATCCTGCACTGTGTTACCTCCTTACTTACAGTCAGGGCTGAGCTGGCAACAGTTCACTCCTTATTAGAGAAATTTCTGATAGACACTCATGAAACTTCAGCAGGGCATCCCTCAAAAGGGTTGCAGCATTTCTTAAGCATCCCTGGTCTTCTAATTGAAAAGCCAGTTTCTTTTGGAGAAGTTGCATGATGGCATTAACATGGCTTGTTTTTATCAGAGCCTGCCATCTCTGCTGCTTACTTCCACAGCAGCATCATTTTCCACCTCTGTGCTAAAAAGATGTAAGAAATCTTGGTGAGAATCAGTAGCTAAAACTTCATGTCCTGAGGCTGTGCTGTCAGTTCGTTTATAGTGACAATGGTAAGAATTCCTACGGTTGTGCGGAGGAATATCTGACACTTATCTGTCATCAGATAAGAGCTGAAAGCTGGCTAATAAACTGCTGATAAATTATACCTGTTTAGCCATTTGGGGAAACTGAGGGATGAGGATCCTGTTATATGGATCTGCAAAGCACCTTGTTTGTCATCTGCTTCAGGAGGAGAGAGGTGTCAGCGCTTGGCCCTTGGTCAGCTGTGGGGATGGGAAAGAACCCGGGCTGCCCCAAATCTCAGACAGGCAGGTTATTTGGGCCCCTAGGGGACTGAGAATGAAGAATTGCTGGTCGAGTGTATTTAAAAAATAAAATAAAAAAAAAGAATCTGTCCTTGCTATAATTCGTGAGGCATTGGCCACAACCTGAGGTAGCATCTTGACCTACAACACCTGAGCTTGTGTCTGGGCTGACTCAACTATGGTCTCAGTATGTGAAACTGGGCAGTCAGTTTGTGTCTGTCTCTCCCTCCCAGTGTCATCCTTCTTTGACCTTTTGTCTGCCTTGTCCCTGCGGATGAATCAAGCCTGAGTTAAGGGTGACAAACTGCCGCGGCCCCGTCTGTGGTCAGCGAAGGCAGAAAAAGGAGCTTCCAACCACATTAGCACAACAAGACTTGTTAGACCGGTGCAAAGGGTGGGTGGGTGGGCCCACGTGGGAGTGGGTTTCTT